GACGCCGCAGCATGATACCGTGGTCCACCGTATCAAAAGCCGCTGAGAGGTCCAAAAGAACTAGGACAGAGGAATAACCCCTGTCCCGGGCCCTCCAGAGATCGTTCACCAATGTGACCAATGCCGTTTCCGTGCTGTATCCCGGCCTGAAGCCCGACTGGAGCGGGTCTAGATAGACTGTTTCCTCCAGGTGTCGGGGTAACTGCTGCGCAACCACACTCTCAACAACCTTCGCCACAAAGCGAAGGTTGGAGACCGGGCGATAGTTAGCTAATACATCTGGGTCCAGGGAAGGCTTCTTAAGGAGGGGCCTCACCACCGCCTCCTTCAAGGCCACGGGGAAGACACCCTCCCATAAAGAAGCGTTTATAATTCCCTGGAGCCAGGCTCGTGTCCCCTCCCGGGCAGCCAGTACCAGCCAGGAGGGGCATGGATCCAGTAAACATGTGGTTGCATTCAGCCTCCCCAGAATCCTGTCCACGTCCTCGGGAGCCACAGAGTCAAACTCGTCCCATATAACAGTCTCAAGACTTGCTCCTGTCTCCTCCCCCGGGGCCACTCAGTCAGAGTCAAGACCTTGGACAACAGGTGGGGAAATGATTGTTATCTAGTTACTCCAGTGTAAGATTTGGTTGCACATAGCATTCCTGACTTATATGTTCAAATATTCATATGATGCCATGTAGAATAAATTCATTCATGTTAACAGGGCGACTTGCTCATAAAACAGCATAATATGCATTATGGGGTATAAGCAGAACACTCTGCATTTATAGCAATGAGTTCAATAAGTATGCGATTTCTGTTCAATGTGCTTTCAACTGTTTAAAAGTGATTTTTGGAGGGCTAAAATAGTGGGGCCACCAAATGGAATTGCTTAAATTTACACAAGTGACTTTATTAATCCAATACAATTTTAATAATTGCTTCCCAGGCAATATCATGAACTTTTCACACTGAACTCAGATTCAAAAGATCTTGTGCTGAATTTCACAGAACTATATGTTTCAAAGAAAATTGGAATAAAATTGGAATATATAAAATAAAGAAAATGAAGCATGGGTGTCTACAAGCCGGTGTTACTCAAATCAAAATGATAAAAGCAGTGTGGGATCATAGACTCTGCTCATTTTGGATGTGCAGCACTGTTTTTTGTCACTGATCAGTTTGACACATCTCATCCCCCTGCTAATATTGTTGAAATGACTCATGGAAATATTTCCATATTTCTTTGGATTTTCATTAACAGTGTTGTTCTTAGTATTAGCTAGGGCAATGGATTCTGGCTTATGCTGACAGTATTTATCTTATATCTCCACTATAAAAATACAATGTTTCATGAAGTGAAAGTGAAAGCAGTATTAATTTTTCTTTAGAATGTAACATATTCATTTAATTTTATATAGAAAACGCACCAGTATGGTAACTATCAATTGCATACATGCCCACACAAAGAGCAGCTGTATTTTTCTGCAGAAGCTTAAATGACAATAATCATATTCTATTAAAATTGTTGAAGAATATTGTATAGTCTGGACATTCCAAAAAATGTCAAGTTTCTCTTTCATATAACCAACTGTCTTAGCTATGGCAAATGTGTTCCAAATATACTGTATATACCAAAATGTGAATGAAACCTTTCAGAACCATTCTGTATCAGTGCTGTCTGATACAGTGTCTTTATTAAGCCATCTGCATTTCATTCACTTTTAAAAGGATAAAAGCACTGTACAAAAGGTAGCCCTGAAAAATCTTTTAGTGTAATCAATCATACTTTTACTTCAAAGTAGTTTTCTTTTTTCAATATGCCAGCCTTTAGCATTTTTTAGATAGGTAGTAATTCCTCATCATTTTGCAAAACACACTTTAGGCAGGAACCAAAGAATCATGGAGTTTCTTGAGCAAAATTCTTTGAATATCATATTTATTTATTTAACCATAATTAAGCCTCTTCCACTTCATCTTCATGGCATTTCAAGAAACACGGTTAATTTCAAAAGCACAATTTGATATGATATGAATGGCTGACAACTAAAGAAAATCAAACTTTTCGCTGGGTATATTGACAATTTTTGTCTCCCTTTTTACAAAGAATCTGTTTAATATATGACTTTAAAATAAACTCTAATTATTATAGACTTTAAATGGTATTTTAAGTTTTTTTAATGTTGAAAATATTTTAAATAGCTTTTGAAGCCCAGCAGAATATGGAAGGCTTTGTAAGTAGTAGAAAAAGTTATAAGTCATTACATTACAGTATACAATTCTTAGTTTTATGAAAAGTATAAATTAAAGATGATTGGCCACTCACAACAATTTTAGAACCTAATCAATATGAAAACAGACTGTAAAAATGTATTGTAACTACAGTAAGGCCAACTTCCCATATTATCCTGAAACTGTTTTTGTATTTCTTTATATTTGAAACATTAGAATATTTCTTAGATGAATGAAGTTCTTTTTATGAATTTAACCCAGAAATTCTTCTGCTACCTTGCTATCTGGATGATATTTGCAACTTTTAATAATTTTATACATTTATCTTAATTATGTTTAACAAAATAAATGATTTTAAATATTAAATTCTATTATTTCAAAGATAGGGCATAGAAACTGATTTTAGTGTATTATAATCTGTGACAATAGTTGGGGAAAGCTGTCCAGAATAGGCAAAATTACACTTTCCCTAAATTCTTTTCCTTGGCACTGTTAATGTCATTCATTATATCTATAAATATATTGTATTTATAGGCACTTTCTTGAGCAGAGTAATAAAAGTGGTACAGACTTAACTGCCAGCATATTTTCCTATGGCATTAGATAATATAAACAGTTTATTTTTGTAAAGAATAGTTGGAAAAACTATAGATATAGACCTACATGCAGTATTATGAGCAAATTATGTGTTTTACCTGACCCAGTAAAATTGTCAAGAGATCCATCTCCACTTGTTGTTGTCGTTGAGTCATTACTGTTCATAGGCTCTGTTTTGACTGCAAGAAGAGACACTGTATAGAAGAATGGCAGATGTGAGATTGTATTTCTATATTTACATATATCATGCCAACTAAAGCAAAAAGTAAATAAGTTTGAGATAAGTCAAACTTTACATACACTGAAAAAAATTAGTACGATTCTTAGAATATCCTTCAGCCATAGAGCCATAGCTTTAAAACCATGCACTACTTTTAAAAATTAAAAATGCTAACATTTATTCATTTAAACTGACTATTATTTGATTTTGATCAATGGAGAAAGCTAGAAGTATTTACACTACATTCTTCAAATATCCCTCTAACAAAGAGACAGGGCTTTTCAAGATTATTTTTTGGTTTCCCCTTTTTCTCCTTCAGACTCTTGATCCCACCTCCTTTTGATTTCTAAAATTTGTTCTTCCAGATTGATCTATGTCTTAGAGCAGGGGTCTTCAAACCTGCATGCTGGCTGAGGAATTCTAGGAATTGAAGTCCACAAGTCTTAATTTTCCCAAGTTTGGAGACCCCTGGCTTAGAATAAAAGGTAATTGACTCAAGCAACTCTACCCCCAAACTCTCCACATAAAACATAATATGCTTATGGTGTTTACCTTTCTTTTTAAATTATTTGACATTTTTTCATATGTGTATAGCATGTGTTTTACATATCAATAATATGGCACACAGTTTCTCTACTAACCTAGATTCATGTTTGTAAAATCTTACAGAATATATTTATTTATTTATTTATTTATTTATTTATTTATTTATTGCATTTATATCCCGCCCTTCTCCTTACGGACTCAGGGCGGCTGACAATTGAATAAAATACTAACATATATACATATACTTAATTAAAAAGTCAAACTTAATATAAAGTCAAACTTAAATAGCAAAATAGTTTTTGCTTCCATTTTAACTAACTGCAATTTATGTCAGAGCCAAGATAATTTTTTTCTCTAATAAAGAAAGATAACTTTAAATCACAGATAATTTATTATGCATTGCTTTTTAAAACTATAGTGTAAAATGAAAAATAATTTTAGGTTCATAAATACAAACTATCTATGTTGTTGTTAATAGCAATTCCAATCTCTACTTCATAGGCGGTCCAGAAGAGAAAGGAAGTGATTGTTAGATATGAATAAATTACCAATTCAATTTCCAGCTTTTACTCAGATAATACGTAATTAAATAAAATTGTAGCTTAATTAAACATAATTAATTATTTTTCTTCCTCAGAATTATTTTCCTTTCTCAGAAAATCTGAGGAAGGAATTTTTAAACTACTTTTACTATAGATTTACTGAGGTACATTTGACCATATTTATTTTATTTATTGTTAAATTTATAAGGATATCCAATTCCATGATGGCTCTGGTGGCATATAATAAAATCATTAATTAAAAAAGGTAAAAATAAAAAATGACAGTCATCCTGAAGAAGAAAGACCGTTCATTCTAAAAATAATACAATACAAAGTACCATCATCTAGTCCAGGGGTAGGCAACCTCGGTTCTTTTATGACTCATGGACTTCAACTCCCAGAATTCCTGAGTCAGCATACCCCTGATCTAGTCTAACCCAAAGCCTAAGGAAAGACCAAGGTTTAAGGCTCTTATAAACATGGTCGTGGTAAGGCACAACAGACCTCAGAGGGAATCTTGGTCCAGGGGGCGGACACTGTGATAGAGAAACACATTTTTCAGGTTTCATCAGCCTGGAGCATGCCAACTTTGATCATACTTATGGGCAGAAACTACAGAAGATAGAAGGTGTCTTAGATAACCAGGCCCTATGTCAGGAAGGGCTTTATAGGTAATAAAAAGAACCTTGAATTGCATCCAGAAATCTATTGTAACTACTGCGTAAAGCAAAGGCGTGTCATGGCATATCCATAATTCTGAGTTTCGCATTCTGCACTGCGGTGGTCTATAAGTAAGGTGCTTCCAGCACAATGATTGGCTGTGAGGTAAAAAAAGGGGGAACTATATCTCTGTTCAGAACTAAGGATAGAACATTCCCAGTCCTAGTGATTCAAAAAAACTCACAGGTACTCTTAATTAAAATTTCTCCAAATATCTTTGATACAAGTAAGCAGCATTAATGTTATAATGATTTGTGTGTGGTACACAGGTCCACTCTCCTCCATACATAATGTGTTTGTTTTTTTTACTAGAGGCTGAAATTGTGTCCGCTTCTCTTCATTTTAATTTATTTTATATATTGATGTAAAATATAGCAGAAAGTCTTTTAGAACTTCTTTGCACAATATTTATAGAAAGATTTCTAGAAATAGAAGGGTATGCAGCTATGAAGCAAAAACAATAAAGCAAATTATCAGATGCTCAACACAATAAATCATCAATCCAACCACACACATGCATTATGCTAGGATTGCTCATACTTGTTGCAGAAGAAGGAGTGCTGCAACTCAACAACCAGTCTGCAGTGTTTAAAACAGTCATGTTGTCTCCTGAGAATTGAAATGGTATACAGCGTTTCATTGTCTGAATATCTGCTTAATGTAAATAAATATTTTCAGGATAAAAAATGAAAAAAATAATAATACACTGCCTTAACGTTGGAATATATGCTCACATACAGCTTTGATCTCTGTGTTGCTTTCAGGCAAACAGACAGACTTACACAAGTTAAAATGATCACTTATTTTCAGTAATCTGGTTTTAGATATTATGAAAAATGGCCTGAGTTCACTAGTATGTTTTTAGGAGTCACAGTTCTCAAAACAAACCTCTTTAACTCATATTGTTGGAAGTGGTACATAAAATAGATATTTTCATATTAAAATCCTATCCTTAATCCAATATATCAGGTACAGGTAGTCCTTGAGTTATGGCAGCAATTAAGATTATTAAGCGATGTGGTCCTTAGACAAAATTTCATGCAACTGAATTGCTTAACAACAGCAATAACAACACTCCCCATTGCCATCGTTAATCAAATCCCACTAGTTGTTAAGGGAAGATCCAACCATTTCCAGCTTTGTCTCTCTCTCTCTCTCTGAACCCAAAGCATCAATAAGGGACAGTTTCCTCAGTCTCCTCTTAACCGCCCCCATCCATTTAATTAACCCCTCTCTCTGCCCTTTTTGGCTGATCTGCACAGTAGCACTCCTCAGTGGCAGAGCTAGGGCTGAGGTGAAGGTCCAGGGCCTTTAGCAATCTCAGCCACCTACCACCATGGCTGGGCCTCTACTTCAGAACTTCTAAGGTCTTCTCAAACATTGTTGAGAATGGGACACATTATTTGGAGAACAGCAGGAGCAGCCTCAGGAAAAAGGCCTGCCATGGCCAGCAGTTGCTGTATATAAGGCCAAACCAGGTGTACCTCATCAGTAGCAAGAGGAAGATGGCTAAGAGGAAGCTGGGCATAGGACTTGAAGGAATGAATGTGTACAAACAAATTTCACCTATTTGAAGTGAAGATTAAGTAGCAAATTTGGAAAAGGATGATGGGATTACAATACAAACAATATGAAAACAAGCCCAATGTACAATACAAATAATATGAAAGGTATTAGTGTCACACTGGAAATGAAAGGGAAGAAAAGCTTAGATCTGCAATACTAGGGTATTCAGAAGACCATAGGATATATTTTAAAATGATACAATAAGGAACTATTCAGTAGACAAACAAACAAACAAAATATCTGTATATAGCTCTTACTGCCTCATATTTAACAGATTTTTTTTTTAAAAAAATTAATGAATACTTATCTAAATTTTTCAGCTTTTCAGGAATCTGATTATTGTCCCCCATAAAGCAGTTACATCTTGTAAAATGCCACAGCATTTTCTGGATTTAAACTAAAAGAGGTTGATTTTTCACTCACCGCCTGTTCCATTTGTTGTAACAGATGTGGTGCTAAGATTAGATTTGTCCAGTTTAGAGCTACCTGGTGCTTCACTGCTTCCCACAAGATTATGAGGACTCGCTAGATCCTGCATTTCCATAGATCTATTAAAGGACAAAAAAACACACCAAACCACTATCACTATGCTATTTGCATCATAAAAATGCACAGACTCTTCTGAACTAACCATACTTTGAAGTAAAAATTGAGAACGAACATTTCCTGAAAGCCAACACTAGTCTGCAATTAGCCTCATGATTATCATTTCGTGATCATTATCATTATTGAGAGAGAAACTGGTGGAAAAAGAAAAGAGGAGAGGAGATTAGAAACATTCCACTTGAATCACGTTCTTCTATGGGTGGGGGGAAGGGGGGATGAGGGGCATCTGAAAGTTTTGTCCCAGAAACGTCAAATGCTTTTTGGATAACAGCCTGCAATTATGCATGCTGTGATTTAACTGAAGATCATCTTCAATTAAAAGTGGAAATTACAGGTAGTAGTTGTCACGGCTGATTTCACCCAGAAATGTAAATGTCATGTGTGTGTGTGTGTGTGTAGTAATTTAATTATTTTGAATTATTCCAGGAAGGTTGAACAAAGACATGAAAAAATAACATTTTTTAAAAAGGAATAACAGTATCAATAGGAAATATTCCTCTCCTTAAAAAAACAGCCAAAGTAAAGAGATATAATTTTAATACAGTATTTTGGTAAAAATAATAATTGCCATTTAATAGCAAGTCAATGTAAGGACTTTCATACAACTTCACCAGTTTCAAATCACTATGTATTTCTGGAACAGTAACTGGGAGATGGAACTAAGTATGAACAGTGAAGCTGTGACATGAATAGCAAAAGGCAGGAATATTATGAAGCAAGCCTCCAAATACTGGCATGCTTATTGGAGAAAATGACAATTTTCTAAAAGTTACTACTTTCCAAAAGTATTTGCTGAGGTAGAAAATTCATATGGTGAAAATTAAATACCAAGTACATTCTGGAATAGTGGAAAATTCTTGCAAATGAAAACTTCTTACAGTTTGTCATAATAATTATACTGTATATACTGATAAAAATAAAAGCTCCAAATACATAAATTTATATAATGGGAAAGACAGTACTTTTTAAAAGAAATAATGCATCTTGGAAATATGTGGCTGATTTAGACAACTTATAGTTTAGACAACTTATAGTTTCATTGCATAGCAAAATATGGAGACTGTACATTTGTAACAAAAATATACTTGAATGTTTGTCTCAGAAGGAAAAAATTCTTATCTCATTTCATATTTATATATTTTTCTATGACTTCTCAGTTTTTTAAAAATAAATTTTCTCAAAGCCTTGCTTTATGATATAAAAAAAAACTACAGTGGGCTTTTGCAAGTGATAACATATTTATGTATAGTATATTTATAATACTATTCCACCTGTTTCCTCCATTATCAGGTTTCATTCCTGGCATTCTCCAGTACAACTGTAAAATATCCCTGTCTAAAAAACTAGATACTTGCTGCCAATCAAGGTAGTCAGGAATGAGTAGGTGGACTAATGATTTGACTGAGTATAAGAAAACTATGTCCTCTGTTTTGAAGCTAAGGGTAAGAGATAGCAAGGCATGTAGCTCCAATGAGTGAAAAAACAGTACTAAGATCTCCTTAAATGAGACACTGGAGTTCCAGCCCTGATTCCATTTTAAGAAAATCTCTGACTTTTAGCAAATCCAAGATTTATTTGGTGATTCATGTAATATTTTATGACTAGTACTATTCACACATCCATATCTTCAATCAAAAATGTATATAATTCTTACCAGTGCTTTTTTTCTAAAAAAAAAAAAAAAAAGTGCCGGAACTCACACACGTCATACAACCCGCCTTGCCTACCCTACAAGGTTCCATCCAAAAAAGGTGCCGGAATTCCGTTCTGGGCATTCTATGACAGTGGTGGCAAACCTATGGCACAGGTGCCAGAGGTGGCACTCAGAGCGCTCTCGGTGGGCACGCGCGCCTTCGCCCCAGTCCTAGGCCTTCAGCTGGGTTTTATAAAACCTTTTCGCTTTAGGCCTCCGCCGCCGTGTGCAAAAAAAAAAGGTTCAATCAGTCAGTCAATTTCAACTTCTTGCGGGAAAAAAAAAGATCTTGCAAAGTTGGAATTGATTGATTGAACTTTTTAGTCCCACCCAGTCTGCCGTTACCACCGCAGCCACGCCCACCCAATGGGCCACACCCACCCAATAGGCCACACCCACCCGGCACCCGATGATGCATAAGTGGGTTTTGGGTTGCAGTTTGGGCACTCGGTCTCTAAAAGGTTCGCCATCACTGTTCTATGACAAAAAAAAAAGCCCTGATTCTTACTCATTTCCATGATATCCTCTTCCTGAACATGTTGTTGTATGACAGATAGTATCCTCAGATTCAGAGCCACCAGGGTTTATGTACAAATAGTATCCAGAGAAGATGTTGATGAATTGCCTCCAGCTGTGCAAGTCACTGTTTAAGGTTATTTGACATAATACACACAATTCCCTTTAATTTTTTTTAACTTGTTCAAAAGTGCAACCAGAACTTGTTTCAAGATTTGATTATATTTAATAGTGTAACACTAGAAAAAAAGGCCTCACTTTGTTTTTTTATTTGGGGCAAAACTCCAAAAGGCTTTGTCATGAATCAAAATATTCAAGACAGCCATCCTGAACTTGAAATTCTTTCATACAAGCAGTGGTGGGATTCAGCCGGTTCACACCACTTCAGCAGAACCGGTAGCTAATTTTTTGTTGCCCAGGCCCAGAATGGACTTCCAGAAGCAGCATCCACAGAGAACCGGTTGTTCACATATTTGAATCCCACCACTGCATACAATCATTCTAGAAGCCATCCATCTCCACAAAGTAGTTTCCAACATTGAAAGCAAGGAAAACAATAAAACAATGAGAATGAAAAGAAGAATACTTAATTGATTAAAAATCCAGAGGAACTTGAGACCACTCTGTCAGCAAGACAGGGAGAGCAGTCACGTTCTGACAACTTTTTGAATATCCATATAGATCTCCTGGGATATACAGCTGCAAAGAGCAGGAATATATTGCATATCCCTTTATGAGAAGATAACTCATACCCTAACACCTGACAATTTGATGTACTGAGACTGGTTGTGGTAAAATTTACATAGATCCTCTTTGGAGAGGGTCATTCAGGTTAAATTTTAGGCAAATGTTTGTGCTAAAAAAAGAAATGTTTGATTGCCTAAATATTTAAAACTGCTTTTTTTTACTTAGATTTATCTTCTGCTTTTAGTTTTTTTACTGCTCTTACTTTTTCTATATTGCTCAATGTTGCTTATATTTATATGAAACAGTATGATGAGTACAGATGAAATATTGACTTATATCCATAGGAGCATCACACAGTTGCATAGTCAATAAAGTATTTCAATTCACAAAAGGGATTGTCTTCATTTATTTCCAATTCCTTCCCCAATTTCAGTTATCTTGTGCAGTATCTCACATTGTTCCATTTTCAGAAGATAAGTAAAACTGTTTAGTTCATGATGCTTCATTAAAATTATTACAAACAATAATATAATATGTGCTAAATTTGGTAACAGCAGTACAAAAACCACACTAAAATGAAACATTATGTACCAAAACCACAATACAAATAGCTATTTCTCTTTAAGCTGAGTTCTCTTAAGTCAGTAAATAAAAAACTGGCCCTGAATTACTGAGAGGAAAATCTAAAAATTTTCTCAATTAATCAGTAGAACTCCAAACAATGATAATTACAATTCTAGGAACAAATATATAGGTAGTCCTTGACTTATTACCACAATTGAGCCCAAAATTTCTGTTGCCAAATGAGACAATTGTTAAGTGAGTTTTGCCCCATTTTATGACTTTTTTGCCACAGTTGTTAAGTGATTCACTGCAGTTGTTAAGTTAGTAACATGGTTGTTAAGTGAAACTGGCTTCCCTACTGACTTTGTTCGTCAGAAGGTTACAAAAGTGATGACATGTCCCTGAGACACTTCAACCATCATGAATATGAATCAGTTTCCAAGCATCTGAATTTTGGTCATGTGACCACGGGGATGCCACAATGGTCATAAGTGTGAAAAATGGACATAAGTCACTATTTTCAATGCCATTGTAATTTCGAGTGGTCTTTAAATGAATTGTTGTAAGTTGAGGACTACCTGTAATTTGTTTTTATCAGACTCTTATGAATGTTAAACTGCAGCTCTGTTAAACTGAGCTAACAAAATCCTAAGTGTAGAGGCAAAACTAATAGCAGCTCCAATATCTCAGGAAAAATATATCTCAGAATTCATATTTTTGGGGTCACCATCTTTGTCAGTGCTGTAAATGTGGATAAAGTCAGCTAAGCCCGCCCCCCCCCACCTATACAGATTCCATTATTGATGTGTGCAGTTTCTAATATACCTCTTCCAGCTTATAACTTAATTGTGACTCGCAACAACCTCATTATTCTAGTTCTGGGCCTCGTTTGAGTAGCAGACATGAAACCTCTAAGGATTGGACTGAAACCACCATACTCACTTTCACTTCTAACCAAATCCAGATTTTGCCTTTGAAAACCTAAGGTAGAGAACTGATTATGGAAAGGCAAATCCATCTCTGCTTTAAAAGCTGGGTACAGTTACTGTTCTTTGGGAACTGACCTTATATTTAGTCACTTTCAATACTTTTTCACAAAAATACAGCATGGAGAAGATCGAAATACATCAACTGTATTGTAAAACTTGATTACAGTAAGAAAAATGTTGGGTGCATACTTTAAATATATAGAAGCCTGGTGGCTGTTACATGAAATACCTCAAGAGAGAATCTATGAAACTCATAAAGAATCTTACCTATTGAAAAAAGAATGTGGTGATCAAGAATTAATGAAATGGGGGGGGGTGTAATCCTTTGGGATACTCACTTTGTGCAAACATCCCATCTGTGGTTCAACCACATAAAAGGCTCATGGACAAATCCAAACACATTAAGAGAAGTGCTTGAGGAATCTGCCAAAAAGCCAGATGCACTGATTGCAGAATTTCTTTTTTAGCTGTCATCTGAATCTTCTAACTGCCA